TGCTGCTGTATCCTCTAACCTCTTGGGATGAGCTGGCCCCTTATCTTGGCTTGGTGTTTAAATTTCTGTTGTACCTTGTAGCTGAAGAGGCTAAAGCTACATGAACCACACAGAAAAGCTGCAGTCAGAGATGCAGTATAACATCAGCAGCTCTGGCTACTTGTCTGAGCTGGCCAATGAACAGTATAGCTAAGATCCTACATCCATAACTGATCACCAGTCTGGGTTTCAAAATGGTTCTGTACTGTTTCTGGACTCTGTGACGGTGTGAAAATCCCAATATGATTCTTGCATTAATCCAAGTAATGGCTTCTGGGTCACTGTTCTCCCCTCTCTGTGCCAGTCAGCACAGCTAGGTCTTATCTGCACACAAAGCTACGGGGCTTTTTGTCCAGAAATCTTTCTAACTCTTTTCTTTGGGGTGGGGGGGATGGTGACTCCTTTATAGGTGTCTCCCTGCTTGCCAGTATTGTCCAGATTATTATTCAGCAGCGACTCTGACTTGCTGGCAGATGCATGCTGGGCACTCTCCTACTTATCAGATGGCCCCAATGAGAAGATCCAAGCAGTAATAGACTCTGGAGTGTGCCGACGACTGGTGGAGCTGTTAATGTGAGTATCTGGGGCAAAGACCTAATTGAACCGCCTGTGTGAATATGGGTGTTGGCTTATTCTGGTATACCTTTTGTTTATGGAGGTAAAACTCTTACAGCACTAACAGGATGATATAGTAACGATGGTGTGTGGGAGCATCTGCCATTTGGGGACTACACCCCGGTGTTCGTTCTTATGCAGAAGAAAGTTTCATGTGGTCCAGGGGATATTTCTAGTCTAATGCACTAGCTTCATCCTTGCGCTCAGGGTCAGGATTTATACATATAGGTATGTAGGATGTGGTTCATGCCAGGCAATGCAATGAGCCTGTGTTCTTTTAATGCTTTTACAATTTGTTTACAGATATTTTTATAAAGTAAAGGAAAGATTGGAGTATAAGGACAAAAATACCTATCAAAAAAATGAGTAAGGTTTTCCATACGGTTGACCAGTAATTCAGTATGCTACTTGTGATCTGTTTGTGGTGATCAGTTCAAAGCCTGTGCATTGCAAAGTGAAGGCTTTGTAGAGTAGGCAGACTTTCAAAGGGGTTTTGGATGCAAATAGCAAAGTGTTCTGATTGGACCATTAACCGAATGCCACTACATTAGGAAGGGGCATACAAGAAGGTGCAGACTTAATAATGACTTGCAGGTGAAAAGGAAACCACTTATGCTAGAGCTTCTTTCTAATGGATAAAGCTGTCCTCTTCTCTGCATGAGCAAGGACTGTCTGTGGGGTTTGAATGAGTTTTGCTGCTTGTGGGTATTTGTCTGGTAGCAGAGGAGGAGGTGGGATTCTTAGTGCATGGAAGATGACTGGAGTTTAACCCTCTCACTCTTCCTACAGGCACAACGACTATAAAGTGGCTTCCCCAGCCTTGCGAGCTGTAGGCAACATTGTGACAGGTGATGACATCCAGACCCAGGTGAGGAGCATGACTGACTTGTATTCAGATCCAAGCAAGGAAAGGAGCTAGAAAGTACCAAATCCTCATCCCCACTGAGGAGGGATAGATCCTTACTATAAATCCATTATTGGAGCACTGTCAGGAAACAGTTTGGCTTGGAACACCCTGTCTCTCTAAAGCAGTGACTTTTTTTTTCCCCAACTTTTTTTGTACCCACTTGTAAACATTGGCCAGTCCTGACCCAGTGCCCCTCACTCCTGACCCACTGGCCCCAGCCCCCCAGTGTGTGGGGCAGGGGATGGGTGTATGGGGCAGGGGAGGCCCAAAGCAGCGCCTTGTAGGCTAAAACTCTGCCAACCTGCAAGGGAAAAGCCACAGTTTCCCATGGTTTTTCTCTTTTAAAAGAGAATACATTTTTAAAGTTTTGATCGTGACCCTTTCATATATTCTTGCGACCCAGTTTTTGGGTTGTGATCCATGAGCTGAGAGACACTGCTTTAAAGCAAGCGTGGCTTTGTCAGCAGATGAGTTGCAGACAAATGCTAGCATGGTCTTTATGAAAAAGGAGAGTCCGGGTTGATGCAACCTATGCTTGGGGAGAGGTAGGAGAGCCTCCGTGTATGTTAGCCCTACCAACAGTGGTGAAATGAAGGGTTTCAAACAGGTGTTACTTTGCAGTGCCTTCTAACATAGTAATAAATGGCACGGGTTGAGGCTGCAATGATAAAATGCCTGGCTGCTTCCAGATCAGGCTGATAAATGTGATGGCTCGCAGTCTGTAGTAATGTGTTGCACCCAGTATTTCATAGTTTCATAGTTTCTAGGGTCGGAAGGGACCTGAGCAGATCATCTAGTCGGACCCCCTGCCATGGCCAGAAGAGCACTGGGGTCAAATGACCCCAATAAGGTGGTCATCCAACCTCCTCTTAAAAACCCCCAGGGTGGGAGCCTGCACCACCTCACTTGGAAGCTGGTTCCAGACCCTAGCCGCCCTGACCATGAAGTAGCGCCTCCTGATGTCCAACTTAAACCTTCCCTCCGCCAGCTTGTGACCGTTGTTCCTGGTCACTCCTTGCAGCGCTC